GCCCCTCGGGAGACGGGCCCCGCGGGAGAGTGGGTGTCTCTCGGGCAAGGTCGGCTGAGCCCCGTGTGATTGGTTTTGTTTGTGGGGGTTTTGTTTGGTTGTTTCTCGTTAGCTAAAACGGGATGGAAAATCTGTCAATCCGTGGTGCCGTGGGTGTCTTCAGGCCTGTGGAAAACACTTTCACCTTACAGTGCAGTTCACCCCAGGGTGGCCTCTGCGCTGCCCTCAGGGCTGGGTGCTTCCTTTCGTGGGGGCTTGGGAGGGTTTTGTTAGTGTGAGAAACACTGAATTAATCTGACAGGTAGGAGAATGATGTTTGGGGTTTTTGTTTGTTTGCGTTTTTTTCCCTGGAAATATTAGGAGATGATAAAGTTCCAAAAATGTTGCGAAGAGCCCTGGCCCAGCTGTCACTGAGCAGCATGAAGTCTGCAGATGTATGCATAGGTCGTCCAGTCTTGATTACCTCTGCAGGTGGGCGACAGGAGGTAAGACTCTTTCTTATTCCTACAAGTGCTTTCTTGGGGCTTTCGGCATGTTTCTCTTGTATTCAGCAGGGACCGAAATGGAGCATGCTTTGAGAAAGACAGTGAATGGGCTTATCCATGTTTTCTACACTGTAGTTACATCTTTATTCTCAGTACTCATTTTTTCCCCAGAAATGTATGCCACGTGTGAATATATGTATTATATTTTGTATGATATATATGCATACGCATGTTTTATTTGCGAAGAAAGAGTATAGCCCTTTTCTTTCTTCATTGATTTGAGGCATTTCTTCCAGTGTATGCTTTTGGGTCATCTGCAGAATGTGTAGAGTCTTGGTGGAATTTTTTATCTCCTTTGTAGGCAAAATATAACCCCTTCTTTCTTGAAAAGTGCCTTGGATCATACCTTAAGAACTCAGTGCTACTGGTACCTTACTCTGTGGCACCAGGTTTTAACCTAATCCTTCTTCTCCCTCAGCAGATGTTTTTCATAACAAAACATTGCTTCTCCTAAGTGGGGGACTGGAAATGGTGGGAAGAAAAATCCATCTCAACTGACAGGTGTTTGCTTCGAACCTCTTCCTAGGTCTGTACTGCTTGGCCCACCACAGGCTTTCCAGGCGGGAAAGTTGGATTGAGTGAAACCACACAGAAGAACCTGAAAGTAAATCTGGGTGATGCTGTCACTGTGCAGCCTGTAATTGGTGCAGTCATCCAGGCAGAGGAAATCAATGTGAAGTTGAGGTATGGAACTTATAACCTAGTGAGGTGTCCGCTTTGCACAGCAGACCCTTATCTCTTAGAAGATGCTATTTTTCTCTCTTGCTTTGATGGTAATGGTACCCACACAAAATCAAACATGTGCAGACGTTTGTAGGGTTAAGATTAAAGTTTAATAGCTGTTGGGTTACTGCTGCTAACTGCTCCCTCCTCTGTGGGCAGTGGAGTGGCTCAGCTGTTGTACAAAATCTCAACTGAGGTGCTGTTGTGAGGAACATAATGACATTAAGCTCATTAGTCTTAAGAGATTCTTTGTTTTACGTTAAATTAATGTATAGTAACGATAGCCCCGCACCTCCTGAAGCAGAGGTCAAGCTGTCTGCACTGCATTTGCATCAGGCAAAGGTGTGTAACTGCACGATCAAGGCAGATTCGTTGAACTTGTGTGTCACTTGTAAAGGCTGAGGGTAATCTCTCTGTGTATAGTTGATGTCAGGTTAGAAGGAGCCTGTGTTGCTGCTGTTGTCATTAGGAAGTATGCTACACACTGCTATCTGAGAAGCTCTTGGTGAAAAGTCCTGTTGTGGTTAAGGGAAATACTGGCTGACAGGCTGGGGAGAGTGATTTTTTTTCTAACCACGTCTTTTCAAAACTTGCCTTTTGTATATGTGTGGCTTTGTGCTCTGCTTTTATTTACTGGAATATTTTTTTAGGATTGGAAATTCTGAGGTGTTTCTTTTTTAAATGAAATTCAGTCCAAAAAAAGAAGCAAAGGTACAAATCGCAGTTGTCTTGAAATCGTGAATGCTTTGAGAAATTAGCATTTTACCTCATCTGCAGAATGACTTCCTGTATTTGTCATTCTCAAAACATTCCACAGAGTCAGCGTTTGGGTTGATGCGGAATCTGATTATAGTTAATTCCTAGATAAAGTTATTTTACAGTTACTTTGAAAATGTGCCAACACTTCAATTTCTGTAAATTAACTTCACTTCCCCGTCAAGCCTCTGTTTTCAAACGTGGCGTTGTCCATTTTAAGGGGAAGATGCTGTTTTCCAGTGGGCTGACTCTCAGACATGCTGGTGAGGCAGTCTTGCTTTGTGTCAGGAATATAACCAACTTAACTTTAATTACAGTTTTACTTGTTAATTTGGCTGCACATTATATGCTGACTTCCTGGCATCAGCTTGCTTTGCCCTCTCTGCCTCTCTCCTCACCAGAAAATGCAAAAAAGATATCTTTCTGATATGGCTAATTTAATCCTATAGAAAGTTTTACTATTATTACATACTGTTTGGTTACAGAAGTGTTTGAAAACAGTCATTTCATTAAAAAGTGAACCCCACATTATATTAAATAATTATGCATAATCTACTTATATTTCCCCATGTTAATATGCGTTCGTTCTTCAAAGCTGAGTCTTTTACTGAAATATAAGCTAAGGATGAGGTCAGAGGAATTGCATGTAGCTTCAGAAATATTTGATTACTGTAATTTTCTTTGGAAACTGTTCCACAGTCAGAGGTTTCCCTCTTGGCCAGTCAAAAGTCAGGCTCTGAGGGTTGTCATACATGTGTACCACCAGATTACAAGTCATATAAATGACTGTTTTTCTAGAATTACTGTAGGAGGACAAAAAAAAAAAAGAAAACTGCAACTGGTCTGTTTTAAGCCTGGTCACTTATTACAAGCCTTAGTGCCATTCAACCATGTAAGCATATAAATTATTAAGAGAAATGGCAATCCCATTATCTGAGTACGGCCTCAGTTTCTAGACTCTTTGCAGTTGTGGTTCCTTCTCTGCAAATTAATACCTCTAGGTAGTTGCTTGCATACGTAATTTAGCCTTTTTTTTTTTTAAAAAAAAGTCAATCCCCAACCTCAGACCCCAGAACCTCACCGAGTGTTAAGGTCTATGATACTTTGAGTGCGCTCCTCTAAATTAGCATAAAACGCCTCTTTCCCACAAGTTACTGTCTTACCAGTAGAATTGAGAAAGAGGGGCTTATTTCTAGGTTTAGCGCGCCCCCCGTTGATCAGACTTTTATTTGCAGTAGCTGTAACTGTTTAGCTCTTTGTAATACTTTTCAGGAAGTGCTTATGAAGATTGTGGACAGTTCTCTGCAAAATGGATGTAGTCACAACATCTTGTGAATCAGAAAGGCTAATGTGTGAGGCTCGTACAGATTGGCTGAGGGGGTTAAATCCGACGGAATTAAGAAACTGCTGAAAAAAAACAGTTTAATGGGCTTTAATGAAAGGTAAAGCTGCAAGTGAAACAGGAAAAGGTTGTACGGATAAGCCACCACTGGCTTACATTGCAGTGTATCTGAGGAGTAGGGAGAGATAATGATGTCCGTGCTCTTAGTGACAAAATACTTTAATAAACATTGGAGAAAGACAATCTCACAAGACACCTTTTACCTTTCACTTGCTTTGGGTAAGAGCACATTTGTTCAGTTGTGTGTTAAATCCCAGTTGAGAAAATGCTGTAGGCATGGCCAGGGCTGGTGAGGCTTAAGGCTTATCTGTCGAGTTACTTAAACTTGGTTAAATAAAAGATTAGAAAATGTGTTGTAGAGACCATTTGTACTGTTTTGATAGTGGATGTGCAGTGCTTAAGGCACGCGTGTTTAGCAAGTGCTGAAGGTGCTAGTTTCATGAATAAAAGATGTGTATGTGTGTTTGCAGGGCTGGAAGAGACTTAGTTTAACTGTAATATTTTTTAATTCAGTAAGTGCAGCAATGGCTGTTTTGCCTGGTGAGATGAGAAGTGTGCGTTTCATATTTTTGATCTTAAAAAATGGTAAATATAAGTTATGATACTGCTTATTACAGCATTATGTATAGAAAAACTAACTCAGAATTCAATATGCATGCTTCTTTTGTTGCTATGTGTCTAATACTCAGAGTTAAGATGATATATGATTGATACGAAGACTGACAAGCGCTCATCCATTTTTTTCTGTTTGTAGGGTTAAATCATATCCTATAAAATAGGTGATATTTATTATCCTGGTGCCTTCGTGGTGTGGACTCTTTTGGTTTTGAAGTAGTTACTGCTTGGAAAAATACTCATTTTTTTTTTTTTTTTTTTTTTTCTTTCCTACCACAGTGACAAAGATGCCACCATTAATGCTGAGGAAATGTCTGTCTGTCTACTGAGAAACCTAGGTACAAGTTTTGTTGCTTCTCTTTTGAAACTTTTAAGGCAATTGTTTGCCTTAAAAACAAGATAAGGGATCAATATTAACATGAAATCCCATACTCTGAATTAATATTTGGTTTTTTTATGTTCGCGGTAAATGAGAAAAATTGCTCTGTATTGGGTGGTACATAAGTATAAATAAGGCAAAAAAAGCCAGTTAAGCTGTGGAAGATAGCACTACTCAAAGCACTCACTACATATTGTTCTACTCAAAGGGAATGTTCTGATTTAGGAATTAATAACAGTATTGCTACACTAAGAAGCAGGAAACAATCTGCAATCCAAATTTATGAGTTTGGAAATACTAAATCTTGTTTACACGTCTGCCTTTGGTTTTTTTTGTGCCTGTAGGGTGTGTTCAGATCACACTGCTTAATCTTTCTCTGTTAGTGCAAAGGCTAAAACCTTGCCTTTTTGTTAGGCCACGACTCTCAAAGGAAGTTGTCGAATCATGAACTGTTGTGAACCTGTAAGGCACGCAGCAGATAGAAAATTTTTACTTCTTACTAATTCCATAATCTCCCTTCGTATGGTGTGTGAAATTTAAAAGGCTCAAACTAATGATATTTAGTACAAGAGAATACATATGATACTGATGAATGTTTATCCAGTAGTCTGCGTGTGTAAAAAAGGATCATTGAAATTACCTGAAATTACGTGTCTTTTGTTATGTTTATTTAGAGCACTCCCTAGGCTTCCTCAAAAAGAATTGTTGTGATACAAGAATGTCTGAATGTTATTGCTGCCAAAGTAGATTGAAATGTTGTCTTTTTGTTTTTTGTTTTTGTGATCTTCCCATAGATGGGAAAATTGTTTTACCAGGAAACCTCTTGGCTTTTACCTTCTATGGCAGACTTTGTAGCATCGTTGTGATGAAAGTGAAAGGAACTGATGGTGCAGAGCTGGCTGCCCAGGGCAATGCCATTTCCAGTGATGTGCATGAGCTAGACCTTGAAAGATCTGATTTGGACACAAGTACGTTAGATTTGTCCTTCCAGCTCGGCAAGATGGACATTGATGATAGTCCAGAGGGTGCATCTATGAGCACACCAAGCAAACTGATGGATCCAAGTTCACCACTTACACCCAGTTCTGCTGTGACAGCCAGTGGTCAAGGTGATGATCAGGGAGAGAAAACCTGCAGCAAGGGAGATGGCGCAGACCTCAGTGATGATTTGGAGTTGCCTGGGAAAGGAGGCAGTGAAGGTCTCCCACTAACTGGCAAAACTGGAGCAATAAGCAATACAGACACTTTTTATTTCATTTCTTCAAGAACTAAAATCAGTTTTATTGAAACAAGGTCCAATGCAACAGATGATGGTGATTGTGAATCCCAAGTCACCTATGATATGATAGGAGGTCTAAGCAGCCAGCTCAGGACTATTAGAGAAACAATTGAACTGCCCTTGAAGCAAGCTGAACTGTTCAAGAGTTACGGTATGATGCCTAAGAGTTGGCTTTCTTCATTTTATACTAGTTTTTCTTCTTTAACATGACTTTTACCTTATTTCATTTTTTTTTTTTAAACCAAGCTATGCCAGGAATATGCACTGAATTTTATTTAATGCTGGTCTGATATACATGTGTGTTCAAAGAATGTCAAGCTGTTCTATAACTCTTACTGTATGGACACTGTGAAGATGCTATGATTAGCTCATGAAAAATAATTGAGTAGGGAAGAAATACATGTCTGTAAAAAAAAAAATCAGGCATGCATCAGCAGGATTTACAGCAAATAGGAAAGACTTCTGTGCTTGTGCCATCTAAAAGGTGCAGATGTTTGTGTCGTCATAAGATTTCGATTTATTCTGGTAGAGTCAAGTAATTATATCTTTTTAAGCTGGTAAAAACTCAGTCAGATTAAGTAATCTGCTGGTTTTATCCCTGTGTGTTGTAGGGTTCCTGCAAAACTTTAGGGAAGTTTTTGAGGCCGTTTACTAACTACTTGGTGTGTTTAGTAGGTGTGCTTTAGGGTGGAAAAACTAATATGGTTACTGTTGCCATATATAAAGTCATACCTAAGATACACAGAAACTTTGGGGATTTTTGTGGCAAAGATAAAACTCTGTACTGTGTATTTATCACAAATGGATATGTATTAAGTAGATGTGTCTGCTCACTGTGCTTGCTTAGGTGTGGATCACTGTGAGACAGGGCTTTTACCTATACATATTTCTTGAATATGATGTCTTTGAGGCTTTTTATTTCTCTCCCTTATCTCTTCCCACACATAGGCTTAGAGAGGATGTGATTTTGATTATCACTGGGAAAATTCCCAAAAGACACAGGCAGCTCTTTGCTGTGCATTGCTTGGGTGTGATGGGCAGGTGTCAATGGGATGGTGTGAGGCATCTTCATCCACATGTGGTCCAGCTCGATTCACTGACCTCCAACCTCAGCATCACCACAGGATTTTGTGTTAGCAGAAAGTTTGCTTCAGCATCAGTGTTCTTCATACTTAGTCCCAAAAGTGCTTGATCAGATTCTCTATTAATTACATGAGAGATGTTGATGTTTCCTCATCAGTTACAAACCTTTCATAACCATCAAAACGTCGAGAGACCTTGTCTGCTCATGGGGAGCAAGGCTGCCAGCTGAGCTGAGACCTTCTGTTCAGCAGCTCCATTTCTTGCCAGTACCAGAAGCGCCGCATGAGGGAGCAGCACATGCTTTAATGGAGTGTTGTAAAGTAACTCTCCTTAAAGACACTCCTATCCTGTGTCAGTTAGCAGACAATTTATTTCTTGTATTTGGGCTTTCTGTCTTTGCCAGTTCTATTATTCTCCATCACCACTGCGGATGTGACCTACCCTTCAAGCATTGTTCCCCGTCTGGTATTGCAGTACCCAGCTGATGTTTCTTCTTTGGCTGTGTTTGAGCAATGCCTTTAGTGATAGGGTCAGTCCTTTGTCAAACTTCTCTTCTTTTTGCTTTCTGATTTTTCATCTTCTGTTTTTGGTTTGTGCCCATGCAGTTTGGCTTTTCTGATCTGCAACTTTCTGGGGGGGCTCTGCCTGGGATCATAATATTACTTCATGCAGTTACCTGTAGTTTCTGTCCAGTTTTAACTGTTCGCAGTCGTACCTTGTTCTTCAGGTGGCCCTTATGTTCTGTACCTGAATGTTTCTATCCGAGGTTTTTTTTTGGCTGTTGAAGAGAAGTGTTTTTCTGACACTGGAAATTTGTAATAATGACACTAAGAATCATTAATAACTTACAAAAGCACATTCATGGATGTTAGGTACTCAGTCCAATAATTTTTTGGGGAAAAAAACCCAAACAAACACCACAATGCATACGGAGAATTATAATGTTGAACTACTGAAAAATATACTGATTGAAATAGTTGCTTTTTAAACAGAAGCATCTGGACTTTAAAAAATACAGATCTATGCCCTGTTAAGAGTGCTCTTCCTACTGAAAGCCTACCATTCTATCAAAATGGTATGTCTGTTAAAGAAGTTAATGCTGAAGTCAAATTATAACTGGTAATAACCAGGACAGTGAAATGTGTAAGTGCAGGTTGTTCAGATCAGGATTTACCACAAATAACTTCCTTCTCTGTTTGTGTGCATGTGCTTGTTGAAAGGAATCCCTCCTCCTAGAGGAGTGCTCCTGTATGGCCCTCCAGGTACTGGGAAGACTATGATTGCCAAAGCCATTGCAAATGAGGTTGGTGCTCACGTTACAGTTATCAATGGTCCCGAAATAATCAGCAAGTAAGTCCACCCAATTTATTTTCATTGATTCAATAAATATATTAGCTCAAATTGTGTCCTGGTATCTGCCTGTTTGTGGATAGGTGTAGAATTGGCTATGGGCTATCTGCCCAAGAAAGTAAAAAACTAATGGGAAAGGGTTGTCTCCAGTAGGAGTTATGCTGCTTCTTGTAATAAGAGAGGTTTAGTGGATTTGGCCAAGAAATTTGTGTAAGGCAAGAATTAAATTAAAGAGGGGATTAAAACTGCATCTGCAATTTCATGTTTGCTAGTTCTGCAACAAGCAGCGTGGCTTGTTAAGGCATAATTGAAATGAAGGTGACACTGCACCAAGTAATGTCTCCAGGTTTTTTTGGTTTGTTTTAAAAAATATAGGTAAACTTTTTTTCTAACACAGAAAAGAGAAGTTTCATTCTAGTTATAAGATGGTTATATCTTTGCCTGTGTCCCGTTTTACCTTAATTTCTTGTCCTTGTGGAAATAAAGATTGTTGTAGATTTGCATGTACTTGGGGATGTTGAAAGAATGTGCTATGGCTTTTTGGAACACGTGAGCAGGAGTTTTCCAGGTTGCCTGGAAAAGACCAAAAGAAGATTTTTATTGAAGTATTTTAATTATTTTAGGTTTTATGGGGAGTCTGAATCAAGATTACGTCAGATATTTGCTGAAGCTTCCCTGTGGTATGTTCTTTTGGATAATTTTCACTTTTACCACTTATTTGCGGTATTGATTCCAGCGTTAATGTTCTTAAAAGAAAAACATTTGCAAGAATCTTTGAACTGTAATTTTTTCCTGCAGTGGTTTTTAAAAGGAAGTAAATTTGTTTTTATAGATCTTAGCTAGAAGGAAAGCAGTGAAATTCTAGTGTGCCTAGTAAATGCTTTTGAACACTACCCTTTTTAAGGGACTGTTGTAGATGGTGCCAAATCGCTCAACCTGTATCATTAGTGTATTGTATGCTTATTTCAACAGATGGAAGCAGGAGCCAGAGTTTCACCTGGATCCAAATTTTTCTGTCTAGTTTTATCTTTGGAGACCAATGTAGCATGGTACTGAGTCATGGAAGCCAGCTCTAAACGAGCTAGTGTTGGTACTGGCTATAGCATGCCTCTGGATTAGGCTGGCATTCTGCCCAAATTTATTAGACCTTGTTAAGGCAGACTTTAGATTTCCAGATGATTGGTGTTCATAACACATCAGCAAAAGACTTACATACTGTATTTGTAGAAGAGGCAAATAAACTGCTGCCTTTTTACTCATGTTGGGAGAGAGAAATAAAAAAGTAGATTGGTAGGTCATCTTGAAGTTATTAGTTGTTTGATATATTAGTCATTTTAGGTCAAGGTTGAAACTTTCAGTTGCCTGAAGGAGTGGGATGCTTGTCAATTTTTGTAGGAACTGGATGTTTTTCATAAACAGCTTTACATTTCTCTGACATGGTTTTTTAAATCTTCCTGAGCACCTTAACATTAATCTCCCCCCCTCCCCCTTTTTTTTTTTCCTCTCCAGTCAGCCCTCCATTATATTTATAGATGAGTTGGATGCACTCTGTCCCAAGAGAGAAGGGGCTCAGAACGAAGTTGAAAAGAGAGTTGTTGCTTCATTGCTGACATTAATGGATGGCATTGGCTCAGTAAGTAGCCTGTATTGCAACATTTAATGTGTATGGGGACTAGCTGCACAAAATAATTTTGCTTCTATAAAGCAGCCAATTTTAGATGAGTCATTTGGGAGAAAAGAAAACAGGCTTAGGTGAGACTTTATATAGTAATCTAATGCTTTGTTAGGTGCTAAGCAGAAGACATAGGAGGGGAATGTTTCCTGATAACTATGGGATTAAAAGAAAGTAAGCTTTCTTCCATTCACTGTCTTCCCTTTGCCGCCTTCTACTCTTGTGGTTTTGCAGATAAAACTGAAATTTTAGCGATAGCCCATCATTGAACAAATCCAGGTTTTCTTGATTTCTTTTTGCTCTGAAATCAAAGTCATGAAAATATTTCTGGTGATACGTAGGCTGCATTATTAAGGGCAACAACAGGTATTTCAAGATTGCCATAGTAATATTTGGGACATAAAAAAAGCCTTCTGAAGAAACAGTAAATTTGAGTTGAGTACATTATGGATTAAGCCCACAAAGTTGGCAATATTTCATTGATAATTTTAGCAGGAAGCATGAAAGAAATCCGTCCAAGTATGAAAATTAGTTTTGTGCTGTTTATGTAATCTGCAAGTTTCTCCTTGTTTTTCTGCATGATAGTTTGAATTGTCCAGTCTGGAGCTGTTTTCCTACTGTAGCTACGGGAAGCTTTATAACCTCCTGTCTCTGCTGGTTTTGATACCTTAAATAATTTGTTTCCCAACCTTGTTTATTCAAGGTCTGCTGATACCTTTCAGTTCTTGTGCCAATGCTGCCTTTTGTGCAGCAGCCTTTTAGCTTACACACTGCTTTTTCTTTCCTTGGTGCTTACTTTCTTGATACATAAAGCAAGATAGAAAAGTAAGCTGTTGGGGATTAAAGTGGGAGACACCGGAATGAGGGCATCTTGGAGGAAAGGTTCTCTCGTATTACCTGTATGTGTGTGCAGCTTATAATATTGCTGAATTGTAATTAGGGATAGGTTGGGTGGGCTAATTTGTGGGCTATATATTCAGGAAAGTTTGCTTTCTTCCTCTATAGCATCAGGATTTTGGTGTGTGTCGTAGTTGGGAAAAGTAAGCAAGGAGTATGTTTATAAGCTGTGTGTCATTTAATTGTATTTTAAAATTAGTATTTTGCATTGTTTGATGCCTTCAGGAGGGCAGTGAAGGGCAGCTCTTGGTACTTGGGGCCACTAACCGTCCTCATGCACTGGATGCAGCACTGCGCAGACCTGGGCGTTTTGATAAAGAGATAGAAATTGGAGTCCCTAACGCCCAAGACCGTCTAGACATACTCCAAAAGCTTCTCAAGAAAGTTCCCCATTCACTCACAGCAGCAGAGTTGGCACAACTAGCTGATAGTGCACATGGTTACGTGGGTGCAGACTTAGCAGCCTTGTGCAAGGAAGCAGGTAAGAATTTGTGCATCTTATTTAGGATCTTACTTTATTGTAAATCTCTTTATTTCGTTTAAAAAAAAATCCACAGTCTATACTAATAGCTTTTAAACCAATGAAATTTAATTTTTGCATCAAAGAAGATATAGCCAAGCATGGAGTATGAGGAACACCAGTCTGCTCCTGGGCACATCAGAAAAAGCCTTTGAGATTTGGAAAGTGAATGTCAAGATAAGTAACACTGGGGAGTCCTCTGTGCCAGTTCTAACATATTAGAGATCTAGCTGTCTGTCAGTAAACCAATGGTTTAGTGAGGTACCTGATATATCCCAGAGGGTTTTTCTACTCTAGAGCCTGCCCCTTCCATACAAAAAACCCAAGTCACTCAGGCTGGACAGGTTGTCCTGCAGGTCCTTGTTCCTGTGGGCCTGAGGGGTGTTTACTGTGGCTCCCTTCTTTTGTGCCTGTATTTCATTTGCCTGCAGATGAGGAGCTTGTGACATAGGCAAGGGGATCTTGTGCACCTGGGAGAGCCAGACAGCATGCTCAGAGCTGGGGGCTGGGAAGTGCCCCTGGCCTCCACCACAGGCATAGCCCTGGAGAATTATCCACACATTATGCAGCCAGGGTTCAGTGTGTTCCAGGGAATACTTAAACACAAGTTCGCTTCTGTTTTCCTTGGATGAAATATTAAAAGTGCACTCTATCAATTCTTACATTTTACTAGAATGCATCTACACAGTTTAAGTGTTGGACCTTAAATCTTTTAAAACAGGCTAGTCAAAATACGACTCTTCAGCTCTGCTTATGCGTGTTTGCTCCCTTGTAGTTTGCAAATGTGTTTGCTGTATGTGCTGGTTACTTTTATTTCCTTTGGCAGTGGGACAGCTTCCTCTGGCAGTGGCACAGTGCACGGTTAATTCTTGCATCAGAATTAACTATGAAGATGACAGAAGTTCTATTAAGGGTGATGGCACCTGGAACAGCAAGGTTTTTACTTGCCAGTTTCCTGAATTTTTAAGGGATAGTTCTCAAATATGAATTTATGGACTTTTGTATGGATCAAGAAGAAAAAAATATGTATGGACACAGACCATTCATTTTATAGTGTGCTTCAGTTGGCCTCGGTTGTGTTTTAAGCTGTGTTTTAAGTTAGCAAACGTTCATTTTAAAACAAATATATACAAACAACAATAACAAAAAGATAAACTCCCTTTTTACTTTCCTTTCTGTGTATTTTTGGAAGCCTCTCAGTCTGCTTGTCTCACAGTCCTCATGTAGTGAATACTTAACTAATGTAATCTAAAACTTTCAGTGAGAAATGTTGTGGTTTCAGTTCCAAACATGACCCAGCCTGGGCTTTCCTTGTGCACATAGATTCTGGATACTTCATAATCCAGCTGCAAATCGGTGATATTTATGCACTTAATGAGGGCCCTTTAGAAAGGAAGTTTTGAATGTTGTGAAAATTGAATATTACCTGCTATCTAGAGCCAAAACTTCTGGCATCTACCTGTGACTGGTTGCAGGACGATATGAAAGCTTTTCATCCAGAGCTAATACTGGGAATGGGGGAAAGAGAATGTCTCCTTTCTATTGATCTTTGTTCTTCAATGCTGTTAACATTTCCTTGTCATTTGTTAACTTGGAGTGACCTCTGCTGGGGGTAGTACGGTCCAGTGCAGTTAACTCTTAGTAGCCCACATGTATTTTTTGAAGAGTTGCAGAAGCATGATTCTGTTGGAGTATGACATAAACTGAATTTAAGTTGCTCATCGTTAAGGGACAATCTCAGTTGGATTCTTTTTTTCTGATTAAGCTCTTGAATACCAATTTTTATATTAAGTTTTCAACACTGTGTAAAATATTAGAGCTTTCACTGGAGTTAAACTTAGAAAAGACTAGCTTTTATGGGGTAATAGTTCTCATCAGCAGAGCAAGGTTATTTCATATGGCAGATTTTCCAGTGTTTTGTCTAGTCTTGTTTGTCGTTCCAAGCAATGGACTTCTGTTGCTTCACTCAAGAAACGGAACTGTGGGCCAAGATAGCTTGTGTTCCAGGAATGCTCTCTGATACTCAGCTGAAGTTTTCCTTGTTTAGTTCTATCCCATTATTTCTATTTACATCCTTGTATAACACATTCACTCTCCCTTCTTAGTGTTTACACCCTGCATATATCTCTAGGCTGTTCTCATGTCCTCTACCTCCTCATTCATTACTGAGCCAAACTATAAATATTTAGCTCTTTTAATCTTTCCTCATAAATAAGTCCTTCCTGCCTTCTGAGAAATCATGTTGATTTTCTCTGAACTCCCTCCAGTTTGTCAATAACCTTTTGGTAACGTAGGGCTCAGAACTGAACCTCAAATTTCGTATATATTGCAACATAAACTGTGATACAAGCATATAGTTAACTGCTGGTGCACATTTCGAAATAACCAAAATGCTTAGTGTTCAGGCAGTATCTGAGTTCAGAGTTCTTTTACAAATTTTAAGTTTGCTTGTGCCACTTCCACATGATGTGTGTGTAAGTACATGTGAAACAAGAAAACTAATTTAGAAGTAGGAATTCTGAGTTCAGAGGCACACATTCAGTTTTTGGTACAAGATTATTGTCGCTTGCTAATTGTATTGCAGCAGTGGTCTTTGGGAGACTTGAGTCCTGGTTACCCCATTTATATCTGTAGGTACTTGAGTTGTGGCTGGAAGGCCTAAAAGTTTACAGGCTATGTTTAAATGTTAAAATATGTTTATAGTCTTAATACCAAGTTTAGATCATTACCAAAGGACTCATCCTTCCTTATCTTTGTATTTCAACTCTGGTCTTTAGGACATGTATTGCATATGTACTGCTTATGTAAGCCAAGGGTTCGTAATGGTAATTAACATAACACGTGTAGTAATTGTACAGCTATGATAAGCAAACATTTCACTTTTATTTCACTTTTGCATCTATAGTTAGGTTTTCTAATCTACTTCATTATAAAAGCTTTGATGTTTGTCTTCTGTATAATTCTGAAGAACATGTGAAAAGTAGATAGCTATTGCAGAGTTAAACATATTCCATCTGTTTTCTTGGCAGAAGTTAGTTGTTCTCCAGTGCAGGAATTGCTTGGTGGTGCTTCTGGGGTCAGACAGGCAAGTTTTCTGTTCTGTTCAGCAACTCTGTACGTTTTCATAGCAGTCATTAAGAAGTTTTAGGAGCCTTTAATGTTCAGCTTTCACCGAGTGTTTCTAGGCCCTGTGTAGACGGTGTGTACAGACTTGCAGTGTTATGTATGCTGGAATGGGCAAGGAAAGGAGAAGTGGACAAGAAACCCGGAGAATCTGGGCAGTGTGCTCTTGACTTTTCCAAACAGGGTATTATGACCAAAGCATTTGTGAAATATATATATATCTGTCTTCTTAGCAGTTAAGAGTGCTTTTTATTTGATCTGCTGAATTTCAAAAATATGAGTGAGTTTGTTTTCCAATGCCACCTTTTCCTCTACTAAAGATACAGTTCTAGCTTCTTACAAAATGAAACTGCAAAACTTTGTGACTTCATAGGAAGAATGCTAGGTATCATGAAGCTTACAGTATTGTTGCAAGAGTTGACATCAGGGTGACAGGCATCAGTTGTGTAAATGTATCTATCATCCCCTCTCACATGCTGAGCAAGTATTATTTGTCTGTTTTACAAACAACTATGGTCCTTCCAGCAGAACTAAATGTAAAACTGGTATTTCTGACATGGCAAGTATCACTAGCTTAGATGCAATGCTTTCAGAATTAGTGTACATCATCTCTGTCCAATGTTACATTACCTGTAGTGACTCTGTTGGAGAAATTGGGATTTGCTGTGACCCTCTACTGCCTAGCAATATACTTGCATTTCCACAATTAACTGCATACTTTCATGTAGGTTAGCAGCATAGTATGGAAAACCTGCAAATACCTTGATGGGTGCTGAACATGTGGGCATCACCTTGCAACGGGCTCCTTGTGGTAGGCTCTTGAGGACTTGAGTGTCTTCTGAGGGATTAACATGCACAGAATTCTTGACAAGGGCTTAGCTATGTGTGCAGCTAAGAGTCATATTCTTAAGACTGGGAGAGGTCTACTGTGTCCTAAATTACTTAGTAGACTACCTTTTAGTGTGAACAGCTGCCTTCCAAATTGTTTTATCTCAAGCAGAGGCAGTATCTAGAAGAAAGACTCTGCCATATCCTTATTCATATTGTCAGTGTTTGTATGTCCCTGATCTTGTTGCTTCTGCTTTAATTAATTTGCCACGCAGGCTTTTTATTAATTCCCTAAGAAATATAATGGTTTTGATTTAAAGACAAAGATAAGCACTGCACTTTTTTTTTTTTTTTTTTAAACACATGAAATGTTAATTATGTAGCAGGGACATGAATGGTATAAACTGTACTGAATGTTAGAAGATGCTTAGCAACAAAGGTTTCCAAATATAGCAATTTATTATAAACTTAGCCTTCTATGGCTGCCTGTAGCATTTCAAGAGGATGAATATAAATATAGCTTGATTTCTTCAAGAAGTGGGCTCAGTCATACTGTTTACAGAGAAAGGAAGTATTTGCTTTATAACTCTTAGAATTTATCTTGAACATCCTTGTTTATTACACATAATTTCAGTGTGCTGCTATAAAACACTTGGACTGTGATAAGATAGCATCATGAAGAGAGGAAGAACAAACGTCTTTGTTTAAATAGTGGTCTCTCTTGCAATAACATCTCTTTGGTTCCAGTGAGGGTGCTGCATTGCAACCACTGAAACCTTGAGACTTCTGTGAAAGAAGCACTAATTACTATGGTTCGCATCAAAGTTGTTTTTTAAACTGCCTGGTTGTAATACAGCAAATGCAATTAAAGGTGTATCACCTTGCTTGGCCTTTAGGATTATAGCTCTTTACTGGCTTGAAATGGGAAATGGCTGTTGAGCTACATCTTCAATCAATATAAATCAGGATTACTCTACCAAATCTGTGAAGCTGCTTGTGTAGACATATGA